CTCTCTCTCTCTCTCTCTCTCTCTCTCTCTCTCTCTCTCTCTCTCTTTTTGTGTTACCTGCAGTTACGTCTCTTTCCACCAGTTATCATCTTCTCTTCTATCATCTTGGTGTGGAAAAGATTTGGGATGCTGTAACTAGAAGCCCTACAATCATGTTCATGTTAGGGTCAAGAGAGTCTTCTCTTGTTTGGGCATGTTTTGAACACCTCATGGGTAGCTGAACAGAAATCCGAAGCTCATTCCATCAAAGATCCCATTGTCCCTCAGCCGTGAGTGCCTCCATGAGGGAAAACACTAGACACTGGGTCTTTCTCTCATTTGTGAATCAAAGACCCCGGAAAAGCTCAGTCAGAGCAGCCCATCTGAGATGGTAGGTATGCCGACTTGAAGCAAAAACACTTGACATTTACTGGCTTGAGATGCTTCACTGTTATCAGTCATTTCCAAACATTGAAAACAGTCTGTGGCCTCATCCAGCCCTGCTCCTTGTTCCTATCATTCCCGCCCCATTCTGTTCGAGGGCTGCTCAGCCAGCAGGCATTGATGTAAGGAAGCATTCTCAGAGATAGCAAGGAGCGGATTGACTGTATTGAGAAGAAAGTCAGTCCTATGTATATACACTTAATTTTACTCTTACAATAAGAGTGTTGATGGCAGCACACACAAAAGAACACGTGGCAGGAGTTCCAGATAGATAGGAGAAATGGGGACAAATCACAAATCCTTGTTCTCTGAGTAAGAGGTGTGGCCCTGCATATCAAAGTACCCTCTCTCGGGGCCACGTAAGTTTTCCATTTTTTATTTCTAATATGCTCCCATCTCAAATTCCTGCTTCCCTCTCTAATATACATTACTAGAAATTTTTTTCTTGCTGGAGTCTTAAGATTGATAAGTCTCAACCTGGGACAAACAGCTGAGGTACTTAACATGTCAAAGGGGACCTGGTTACCAGGTTCTCCCAGCATCCCTCAGTCCCTACCTGTTGTGGGGTGAGGGGGTTAGGGGGTGGGGTTGTAGTTGGTGGTGAAGTGGTGTTGGTCCTCCTGGCTGGCGTCACCCTTGCCCACTTCTCCAGACCAGAGGCTAGACTGCCTTTCCTTCAGCTGCCCTTCACTGTACAATCCAACCTTTTGGTTACTCCTCTTTGGGCCTCCTGGCTGTTCCTGGTCTCACCCACCCACCATCACACGGCACAGCTCAGTCTGGTCCTGTCCAGGCTCTGCTCGCCCACATCTCTGTAATAAACTCTCCTCTCCAGCATACCAGGAGCAGTCAGGTCCTTTCTTTTTGCACTTTTAAAAATTTTTTTGTTCAAGGATGAGCTCATCGTTTTCAACTTTGAAACTTTGATACACTTTGAAATTAACACCACATATAAAAAACACCAACAGAGATCAATGCAACCTTATCATATTTTGCTATATTTATTTGTAAACATCTTACATAGATTCAAATCAAATAATCCTTTTCTTTAAGTACTGTATCTCTTTTTGATACTTGTAGCAGCTGAACCCTTGCTCACTTCCTTGATTCTAGAACACTCTCAGATAGTCTTGACTTACAGACCCAGAGTGTCTTTGGAAACCTGCAAAATTCTAGAAGAGGTGATCCAGTCTGAAAATGTCAACGTGGCCCAGAAGGTTGTCTTGTCAATTTGAAGTAGATTGTCAAGTACTATATGTGTCACACCTTGTCCTGGGGAAACTTGTTGGGAGATGGGGGGGGGGGAATCAGATAGCTGCTTTTATCACTGTGATTAAAAAGATTAATGCACAAATGGTGCACTAACACCTTTAGAAGAGTAAAAACAAAAATGACAGAAATGAACAAAATATGGCTTTTATTAAAATAATCATATACAGAACATACAAAGACGGAAAACACCAGGCTCACTCAAAGTCCATCAGAAAGCCCTGGAGGCAAGGGCCTGACACTAGAGTTCAACCCTGGGACATGTGCACTAGAAGAGGAGAATCAACTCCTGTACGTTGTTCCCTGGCACACATACATGTACACACATGCAAAATAAGATAAACATAATAAAAATTATTTTTAGGAGGAGTATGAAATATAGTAAAAGGTATTTGTGAAATAATGTTGAGTAGGTAAAAGCAGAACATATTTTTCAATATATTAGTTTTTAATACATATTTCAAATTTAGAAAATTTTCAAACTATCAATAGTAGAAGTAACAGGTGACTTTTAGGTATCCCCCGCGCAGCCCCTTGGCGTTGAGATTCACACGAAGTCTATTTTCATGCTGCTGCCGCTTGTCCAGCACTGTATTTTCCTCTTTACGCTTCTCTGTCCTGCCTTGGAAGTACACTGCTTTTAAAATAGAAGAAAAGAGAAGGAGATCGAAAACCAGGTTCTGTTGCACGTTCCACTGGATCTGGAAACACAGCCCTGAGCCCTCCAAGACATGTTCCTGTTCATACACTCACTTTGCAAATAATATTTAAGATCTAAAGTGAGCTAGCCTACTGGCACTGCAGGAAATCCAAGCAGCTTTTAGTTCTCCAACCAACAGGAGTTAAATTCCCGACTTTGAAGAGAGGCCCTCAGAGCTACCTCTGCCCAGAGCCTCCAAGGCTGCTTCTAACTCTAGAGCCTGAGGCTGAAGATAGCACAGCCTCCCGTGCCCCAGAGAGCTGACTATAACCAGGACAGGAACTATACTCCAAATGGGACTGGGTGTGGCTAAATTGTCTTGTGCCTCAGTGGCTTGGGGCTGCCCCTCATATCCACCACCACCTCAGCCTATCTTTCTGTCCCCTCTCTTCTGTCAGGTTTCTTCCAAGTCACCCCATAGCTGCTGCCCCACCGAAGTCCCCAGTCTCTTGCTTGCTTGCACCTTACTAGAGGTCTCAGACCTTGTCGGCGCCACATCCTGAGAACTGAACCGCTCCTGCCCTGGGCCTGGAAGTTCTTCTCCTGCGGCGAGGGAGTTCCCTGGAGACTGCGGTGGTCGGGGGGAGGCCCCAGTAGGGGGCACGCGGACGCCTTTTGGGGAGGAAACCCTGTACCATCCGCTCTTACTCGCTGCCAGCCAGGGTTTTCTTCCCCCAGTGAGTCTCTTAATTTTGCTCATTTATCTTAAAGAGCTCCGTAAGCGCCGTGGGGCTCCGGCGGGGGCCCGCACGGGGGCTCAGACACCCGACCCCCACGCCTGCTTCCCAGAGGAACCATCCAGCACGGACCAAATCTCATTTTCCTACAAATAGTTTGTCAGAAGCAGCAGGGCAAGTAATAAATCACAGAGAGCGAGAGAGCGGAGAAGGAAGGGGGAGCGGCTGGGAGGGGAGGGCGGGGCGAGGGCGGAGGGAGGGCTAGGGGAGCAGATGGGGAGAGCACACCCGGGAGTGGGGGCTGCGGAAACGGAGCGGAGGAAGGAGAAAGGAGGGGGAGACAAAGGGACCGGAAAGAGGGAAGGGAAGAAAGAAGGAACGTGGGAGTTCAGAACGCTAGGGAGGAGGAGGGAAGGAAAGAAAAAGGACTGAGTGAAGAGGAAGAAAGAGCAAGGAATGAATCAGGAAGCAGAAGGGGAGGGCGAAAAGAGGAAGAAAAGGAATCTAAAGAGACTTCGAAGGAGAACAAAAAGGCTTCTGGTGAAGACGTGAACCCCAGAAAAGATGGTGGGCAATACAAGGCCTCTGCTTTCCCCAACTTCACTCACCGTGAGCTATGGTGGACCCCTGACCCACTGCTCCATCTGTGTGCTAATTGATGTCCCTGTGCCTGGCATGCGCGTGTGAGGTGTGTGTGTGTGTGTGTGTGTGTGTGTCCCGAAAGCAGGGAGATCCTGTATCTGGGTTATTGTGATGGAACAAGCCAATCCACTCCTCCAAACCTCAGTTTCTCCATCTGGCAGATAGGAGCAATAAGCCTCATTTGCATGTTTGGGAACAAGGGTCCTGCTGAGCAAGCTGGTGATTAAGCTAAAGGGAGCCTTCCTTGAATTGGTGCAGGTGAACTTGGTCCTTGGACTCTGGGCCTGGACGATGGACCTTCCAAGTCTGTGCTGTGTACTGCCTCCACCCCCACAACCTGTGATCCTGAGCCAGACACTGGGATCCAGCGGCTGTCAACACAAACACAATTCAGTGCTTTTTGTGTTGTCTTTATCCTCCCTCAGGAAACAGGGAACCTAGTGCAATCATCCACTGTCAAGCTCTCTGGGCTTCTGGTGCAAAGACAGCTCATAGGGAGAGCCTCAAGGCATGTGCCTTCTCCCCATCTACACACCTCCCGTGACAGTTCAAGAACTCACAACAAGGCTTCAGGTTTTGACCCTCCTAAAACTCCTCCTCTCCTTCCCGGCTGCTGGTAGAATATAGGAGGGGTTGGAGGAGAAAAGCATCTTGTGGGAAGTGGAAAATGTTGGGGGAGAGAAGTGAGCGGTGACCTCACAGAGTTACCCCCAGCTCTTAGCATATTGCTGGTAAGTGGTGAGCTCCTGAGATGGATGAAATTCTTTTAATTTTGCAACCACATTCATTACACACTCCTTATGGCTATAAAAAAAGCAGTTATTAGTTTATGTTATGGAAAGAGAAACAGACAAAGATGACCGAAAGTGGAAGTGGCAAGCCCAAGAGAGAGGTTTGAATCTAGAACAGTCTGTCTCAAAAGCTTATGTCCTTCTTATGGCTGCCCAGGGCTCATCATCAGGGCAACTTGAACGGCCTCTGTGGAATGATGATAAGTGGTCCCACATCTATGATACCTGCTGTCTCAGTTAGGGTTTTGTCACTGTGATGAGATTCTATGACCATGGCAGCTCTTGGAAAGGAAAGCTTTAATCGGGGCTGGCTTACAGTTCAGACGTTTAGTCCATCATCATGGTGGGAAGCACAGAGGCACCGTGCTGGAGAGTTCTACTTCTGGATCAGCAGGCAGTAGGAAGAAAGAGCAACTGTGGGCCTGACTTGAACTTCTGGAACTCTGGAGTGCACCCCAGTGACACATTTCTTCTAGCAAAGCCACACCTCTCTTAGTGCCAACTCTCCCCAGTAGTGCCACTCCCTGTGAGCACACAGGGGTCATTTCATTCAGACCATTCTACTGCTCAGCCTTTTCCTGACCCCCCAAATTCTACAGAAGGTACCACAGGGTTCCTCATTCTAGACATCCAAGACATTTGGGGATCCCTTGTTATTGGCACCATCCTTTAGTTGTGATTATCAGGCCACACTGCCCTCAGATTCTCAGTTCCCAGCACTCTACCTTGAGGAGGATTTTAAGGACAAAGTTACATTCCTCATAGCCTCTCTCATTTCAGCTCCTTGAAATCCAGCTACACCCCCTCTGCCTCCTTTCCTTCTGAAACGATGTCAGAGAATTTCATATCCAACCCCAGGGAGAAACAGAGCCTGGGGAGGAGAGCCAGGTTCTCGCCTACCTGGATCAGCTAGATGACTCTAGCCAATTCTCTCCATCTCTCCAAGCTCAGAGTCTTCAACCGGAAATGGAGATTTCAAAAAGATATTATTCCAAATTCCCAAGGCTGCGTTAATGCAAAAGCTACGGAAACTTTACAGGTGTGAGGGTTTCCTGAGCTCCACCTCCTGAGAGCAGGGCTCCAGCTCCTCACTGTCTCACTTAACAGGAGCATGATCCTGGATCCTAGGTCTGAACCCCAAGGACAGCAAGTGCCTCTGTGTTTTGCTTCTCCAAAACAACAGCATTTAAAATCTAAAGCAAGCTGTGTGACTGAATCAACCATGGGAGGCGGGTAAAGTGGTGGCTAAGAGCTGGACAGTCGTGGAAAATCATTTCCAAATTTCAGACCTATTGCTGTTAACAATGTTACCTTTGAATAATCATCTTGCTTCCCTGTGCCTCAGCTTCCTTTCCATAAAATGGGGTAATAACAGTGCCTTTCCTATGAAGCAGGCAATGCACAGGCACACGCCCCCTTCTCCGTTTCTCACACACACTCACCCACACGCCATGCAATAAATAGCTACTCTAGTTTTTGTTTGATGTTTTTTAGTGGCTTTTCTCTGCAATTGTCCAAATACACACACACACACACACACACACACACACACACACACACGTCTTCTTTAGCCACAGCCACACCAAAGACATTTACTCCCTGCTTCTAAGTCACTCAGCTCAGTCTAGACCGACCCCAGGGTTCTCAGTTTGACATACCAGAGGAAGAGGCCTTTGCACAGGCCACATGAGGGGACAGGATGCTGCACAGGTGAACCCAGACACGCTACCACTGAGCTAGCTATCCTACCCCCACCCCAGCACACTGCTTAGAGTTATCTCAGCTGATAGGGGTTTGGCTTCCCCAGGGCTCCTCCAGGCCCTGTTCTAGTCCAGTCTGAGTCTTTGAAATGGAACTTTCCCACAGTCCCTACTTTTAGAGTATCACTTTCATGCTCACCCACATAGTTTATTCAATCTGTTCCTGCACATTCTAGACTTAGACTGGGCTAAGCAACTACCCCTCCCCCAACAAGCTTCTGGCTCAGGCCGTCTCTTCCTGTCAGTCCCTGAAGGCTATCTTCCTCCATGAAGCTCTCCTGGACTGTCTGCCTGATGGATGGAAGGATGTTTTGAAAATCCTTCCAAAGGGCACCATTCATCTTTGAAAACTATACGCATGAGATATTTTATCTCTTTTCTGAAACCGTGCTTCCCTGTGTGTTGATGTAATAGATATGGCTGACATTTTAAAGTCCATTTTCAAAACACATACTGTCTAGTCTGTGGTTCCTGAATATAAAACTCTACATAACTGCCTGATTTGCATTTTAAACCTCTGTGGGTAGAGACCTCAGCATCAGCAGGAGAGAGAACATGGACGTCGACTCCTCAGAGTCAAGCAGACGGCATTGAGAGAATGTTACAAACATCACATAGGGGAAGCGCCGTTTCTACACGTGTGAAATCTTTCTAGGCTAGCTCAGATGCTGTGATTCTTTGATTCCACCAACAAGTATTGGAATTCTTTGTGCCCTCACCTTGTGTGGACCTGCCTTGGGATATGTAGTGGATTCTCTGAAGGAGTTTCAGATAGTTACATCCATGTGTGGCTTTGCTTTCCCTCTTCATGGCGTTTCCCATTAACTTTTGTGTCCCCTCTTTTACAGCAGCCCTGCAGTTTCATACCTGACACTTAGTAGATGCTCAATAAATCCTTAAGGAAAGAGAGAAAGGGAGAAAAGGTAGGAGAGAACAATAGGAGGGAAAGGGGAGGAAAGGAAGGAAGGGAAGAAGGAGGAAGGAGGAAGGAGGAAGGAGGAAGGAAATGCTGTCAGTTAGAAGCAACACTCAACACATGAGTCTTTCTCTGATCTGTCAGTATGTGTCACCTTGCCATCTCAGTTACAACAAGGAAACTGAGGCACTGATTTACTCCTGTTGCCCTGAGGACAGACCTTGTCCTTTGAGCACCCTGTGTGGGAGCAGTTAGCTAAGAACAGTTTGCCTGTTTGCTGAACTTGTCCTCATCTGTAAAATTTATTTTTTTCCAGTCAAGGTGGCTCCATACCTGTCTTTTTTGAAAGGATATTTTTTGATTATTCTTTAGCAATTTCATACATACATGTATACAGTATATCTTGATCACTGGGTCTGATTTTCTGATGAGATGTGAAGGCTATAAACTCAGGTGGATGATTAAGATGGCTCTGATATGCAATCTTGAGCAGGAGGCAGAAAAATAAGAAATCCATCAATACAAATACTCAGCATAACAGAAGGCTACCAGGCAAAGGAAGGAGCTGTCTTTGGTCTGGGTACAACTGGAGGACTGAGCCTCAGATGGCACGAAGGCACTTAGGCACACAGGCACACAGATTCTGCCAATTGAGACTTGAGATTCTGGGCCAGATTGCTGGAGGCCACAACATGGCTATGAGCAGTGTATTGAGCTAAACTTGTCCTCTTCCATAAAACTTATTTTTTTCAATCATGGTGCCTCAGTTTGTGTATGTTGAAAGGATATTCTTTGATTCATTCCATAGCTGTCCCATACACATACGCACTGTATCTTGATCTTATTACCCTTTCACTCCCCAGTCACTGTCCCATCGGACACATGGCCCTCCCACCATCATGTTCCCACCCAGTAACCCACTGAGTCCACTTAGTATTGCTTACTGGACTGTTGACTAATCTTGCCAGCTTGATCTTGGACTCATGG